GTATATATATATATATATATATATATATATATATAAATATATATTCCCTATTTTCTTTTTAACAGAGAGAAAATTTATCAACACATTTCTACACATAATAGTGTTAATACCTCATCACTAATAACTGATTTATTTTCTCTTCACCATGATGACAGCACATAATATTAGTCTAGATATTCTTCAAGACACTAGTGTTCAGCTTAAAGTGACATGTAAAGGCTTCACTAGGGTAATTAGGGTAAAGTTAGGGTAATTAGGCAAGTCATTGTATAACAGTGGTTTGTTCTGGAGACAATCCAACACTAATATTGCTGAAGCGGCGAATAATATTGAGCTTAACATGGCTTTAAAATAATAAAAAATAATTAAGTAAAAATAATTAATTTATTATAGCCGAAATTATTTTGACTTCAACTGTATATTTTTAACCCATAACTGTGGGCTCCATTTTTGAATATATAGACATAAAAATAACGTGTTCAGCTGATATGAATTCCAATCTTCAAGGCTTTGATCCACAGGTTTAAGCTTGGTTTAATTTTAAAGAAGACACTTGTCAGATTGCAGCTGGAAAAAGTTCAAGTTGTTACAACTAAAAGTTAATGTGCCTTTACTTTTATGAATATAATTAAACAATACATTTGTATTTTGTTATATTACATAGAATATGTATCTTACAAAATATGTTTAACCCCTATAATAGAAAAAAAGGGAAAAATTTGAACAAGTTATATTCCAGATTTGAAGTTGATCTCATAAAATGAGCACCTCGCACTATTTAGTTTGGTTGCAGTGCCAGGCATGACCACTAAATGACGTTTATGACCATATATGGGAATATGAACAATATTTGTTAATACTTTTGACAATATTTGTAAAGACATTAAATCCTAAAGTATTGACAGTGTGGTGGTATTTGATTTGAATTAAGCCCCTAAAAACATTTTTTTTTATTTCACATATGGATTGCTGTAGCAAAGTAATGCTGTATGACTCTGAGTATCCAGCAAATTAATAAACAACTGTT